GATTAATATGTATAAGTTCAGGAAGGGAGAATGCAGGGAGGAAGGGGACAGGCTGTTTTCACTGGTGGCCAGCGATAGGACGAGGGGTAATGGCTACAAGCTGGAGCACAGGAAGTTCCATCTCCTTGTGAGGAGGAACTTCTTTACTGTTAGTGTGACAGAGCAGTGGAACAGGCTGCCCAGGGAGGTTGTGGAGTCTCCTACTCTGGAGGTCTTCAAAACCCGCCTGGATGCCGCCCTGTGTCACATGCTGTAGGTGTGCCTGCTTGAGCAGGAAGGTTGGACTAGATGATCTCTAGAGGTCCCTTCCAACCTTAAATATTCTGTGATTCCTTCCTTCCTTCCTTCCTTCCTTCCTTCCTTCCTTCCTTCCTTCCTTCCTTCCTTCCTTCCTTCCTTCTTCTTTCTCTCTCTCTCTCTCTCTCTCTCTCTCTCTTTTGTTTTCTTTTTTTTATTTATTCAAAAGAGAAAGGAATAAAGACTTGAAAACTGACTTGAAATATAGTAATTCTTATTTTTTATTTGGAATCCTGAGAACAGCAATGAAATGGTCAAGAGTCAAGACTCATTTTCATTATTGATTTCATGAAGGAAAATATTTAGAAAACCATTTGGGGAAAAAAAAAAAAAAAAAAAAAAAAGGAAAAAAAGAAATTCAGCAACTTGAGAAACACATCAGGACCATAACTCTATGAGCAGATATGCTTTATTTCCACATCTTTTAATTGCAGTTCTTGGATAATACCAAGGCTTTTTTGTTGCTGTAAATTAAAGGACCCCACTTGTTTCTAGAGACTGCAGGTACAGACCTACTAGTCATGTAAGACTTTTGAAAAGTTACTTCCTTTGAATGATCAAACTAAGTAAACAGCTCTTAAAAAAAGCTGAAAATATCCTTTCTTTTCTAGTTGCTAAAGGATCTATAACATCATATTTCTCAGGCTACAAAGAGACAGAGGAAAATTTGAAGTATCTATAATGAACCTCCGGAGAAAACATTTTGTTAAAAATCTGTTAAAAACATTTTGTTAAAACAATGTTTTTTTATCAAATCTATTTGACTGAGTTGATTCACAAAGATGACAGTATGCTTAAAGCGTATATAGGTGCTCTCTAAGTTTTCATGCCAGCAGGTGTTAATCATGCAGTTAACATGTATGTTTGATTCCCACTTAAATTTTCCTTCAAAAATGTTGTTCTTTTGTTCTAGCATCACCACAGTTCTGGCCAGGGTCCAGAGTTTTGTAAAGAAAAATATAAACAGACTTCTATAGATAATTTTTGCAGGTATTATTGTCAGTCTTATGGCAGTTACTGAGCCTCACTGTGATTGGAACTAATAACTATTACCAAGATATGAGAATTTCATTTAAAATTAGGAAACCATCTGGTGCCTTCATTTCATGTTGTAACATAATGCCACTGTTTTGTTACATCCAGTCTCATTATAACAAGACAAAGTAACTGATAAAAAAATATACACACAGGATGTGTACAGACAAAATTATATTCTCACTCATTTTTATGCAACTTCCCAGAAGTCATACTTGCATAGATTTTTTCTGTAGAAAGGGACTACTAAAATCTAACTTGAGCTCCTGTGCAGTGAAAGTCATATAATTCATTGAGTAGCCTTTCCAATAAAAACATAACATTTGTTTGGGCTATGCTATATCCATTCTTCTCATTATGGCTATGTGTGACAGCTGGATCCAGGACGTCTGCAGATGAGTTCTACTAGTCATTAATTACTCTCACTCTTAAAAATATGCACCTTATTTCTAATGTGAATTTTATGATTTCTATCTTTGAAACACTAGATCTCATTATGCCTTTTTCTGCTAGATTAAACAGCTATCTATTGTCAAAACTCTCCTTCCTGTTAAGGAAATTATGGACTATGATCAAGTCACCTCTTAACCTTCTCTTCAAGAGATTGAACAGATGATCATCTTTAGCTTCTAACTGTAAGGCTAACTACCAGATCTCCAGTCATTCTCTCACCTTTTACAAACTTTTAAACATATCTTGAAGTGTGGTCACCAGAACTTGGCAGATTATTTCATTAATGACCTCTCCTAATTGGTATTCCCTTGTTTATATATAAAATGATTTAATAGCTGCTGTTTCAAAACCTCCTTCAGCAGTTTAAAGCTCAAGTATTTACTTCATTTTTATACACAATGCAGAAAAAGGTACACAGCACTTTGTGTTTTCTATATTATCTACATTCAATGTCACTTCTACGTATTAAGATTTTTTTTGTTTTTATCTTCCTTTATCAATTGTCTGTATTTTAGTGTTCTTATATTATTAATAATAATTATGAGTTGTTCAATTCTTCTAATGTCCTCTAAAGCAATCCAATTTACAGTCTTATTTTAATTATTTTCTTCATACAAGAAAAGAGTATTTCTGAAACAATTTATTTATGCATACAAAATGTACATTTGTTTATACATATAAGTACACATAAGGTACATTGATCAGTTATAGCATTCTGTTTTCTGATAATTAAATTATAGGACACCAATCAACCTAATTAGATAAAAATGCCCAATTTTATCAGAAAAAATTGCTGTGATAGAATGTATCTAATTTTTTTAATGAAAGATACATTTAATTAAATTGTATTCCCTATAGAGCTAGCTCTAGCAAATATGTACATCAATCCAGATCTAATTTATAACGGGAAAATGCTTCATAAGCTAAATGAATCAAATTAAATTATACAATTTTAATTTTTCTTTTCTTGTAATTTTTGCTTATTTGTTTGCTACAATGGTTATAACTACTTCTAGTGATGAAGCTATTACAGGTACTTATTTTGTACTTATAGGTACAAAATATTACTAATTAATTTGCCTGCTATTTAGAAAAAATAGTAAATTGTAAACAGAAAAGTATTAGGAATCAGTTGATTGATAGTTTTAACAGAAATACTTAACTACAGGTACATTTGTATGGCCCAGAATAATTACTATTATCTGTTGACAAACAAATTCCATCAAATATATTTATTCAATAGAAAAAAAACTAAATTTGACCTCAAATTCAACATCCAAATAAAAGCAAACGCACAAACAAAAAATATTTGTTTTGTTTTGATTTCTCTCATAATTAAGTAGAAATATTCAGAATGTACTAAAAGCAGTTATGTACCAAATTGTACATTCTGACAACATGAATCTCTTATATCTAAGTCTAGTCTAGTTCAAATGCATATACTGCTAAAACAAAGGCCTTCCTATCCAGGATGCACAATTGCTACTTTTTTATGGTAAGTCTTCTCTAGGTCTTGGATACAATATGCTAGGCAAATGCAAAATATATTTAGATAAATAGAAAGAGGAAGAGAAGTGCAAGGAAAAAGTATGCAGAAAAGGGAAAAGAATAGGGAACAGCATATTAATATACAAAGGAGAAAAAACAATCCAGAAAAAAAAAAAAAAGAAATATCATGCTTTCTAGAAAAAAAGAAAATCCAAAAGCATGTGCACACATGTGCATACACAAAAGTGGAGAAAAATTTAGAAAATCAAGGGGAAAGGAAAAGGAAAATAAAACGCTAAGAAGATACAGAGAAATGAATTTCTAGCTACTAAACTGAAAGACATAGTAAAAAAATCTTCCTAATATTTTAGAGCCAATATGAAAGAGAACAAGTTCAAAGTCTTCTATGAGACAAAAGTTAAATTAAAGCCCTGTATTGTTTTCTGGTAGCTCAACAAATACCTTGTGTCATCTCTTTATGGATTAAGGCATTATTGATTTTCCTTCTTTTAAAAATCTTACTCTCTAAGCTTTGAATGTTGCTTAATTGAATCTTTTCAAATATTTTCTGTCATCATAAGACTTCTAATTGATTACTTACTTGTATTAATTTCCTCACCTCCTTTTCCAAGAAATATTCTGAGGAAGATATTCAGAACCCTCCTAACATATGCTCAAAGGTAACATGTAAACATCTTCAGGTATCAAACATCAATCGATTTTTACTTACCAGCAGAAGTTGAAAGAGCTATTATTATTCTAAAAAAAGCATGTGTTTGGATTGTCACTAAAGCCATAAGATTAAGTAGTGTATATTAGCTTTGGTATCTGAACAAATTTTGGGCTCTTTGCATCTGATGAGCACTGACTACATGTTTCTCAATTTCTGGACCAACTTACAACCTATCTTGAGCCTCAGTTTATCTGATTTCAAGCACCAAAGTAACAGTCACTTCAAACTTTTATTGTACAACATAGCAACACATAAAAGCAGAATATACTAGCTAAACATCTTCAAAGCAGTCAAATTTGGGGAACAACTCTCTCCATGAAAGATTTGAGACTTATCTGAGCTATCAAAGATGAGAAGATAGATAACAAACCTGCCTTTGTCCCTCACATGTACTTCTTACTAATTTAAGCCAAATGAAACACTTGGTGAAGGTAGGAAAGAAATATTATTCTCTCATACAGCTGCATATTTCTATATATTTCAAATTGAATGACCTAAATACAGGTTAAAAAGAATAGAAAATTTGAAAAGATCTGAGTTTGTTTTATAGATTTATGGATTTTCTCTAAAACATGAAGTCCAAAAGAATTTTCTCATCCAAGGCACTGATATTATAAATGTGATCTCCTTGCTCAAGCAAAGACAAACAGATGATTTAATTAAGTATAATGCCATAGAACCAATCCCATAAGTCACACACTGACAAAACTCATTCTTCTATACAGCAAAGGGAGATTTGTCTCAGTAGAGTATTCAGGTTTTCTCGACCTATTACAGTACTGTATATTCAGTTCTTTAAGCAAAAAGTAATCAGAAAAGAAATGTCTTTTATTTGCCATGTAAGACTCTACACTTGCTTTCTTTGCTATTTTGCAAATCATCAAAGAAGTGCTTTTCAACTGTTTTTGACAACAGAGGAATCATATTCTTTAATAAACACTTTCCACCCACAGTCATGATTATGAAATCTTTGCAAAGAGAACATAGGGCTTACCTTGAAGAAAGTCATAGTTGCTCCATCTTCAACTGCTCCATACTCTATCTTTGTCTGCTTGGCCAAATCATCTGCAGAATCAATAGGGGATTCCATACGTTCGACTGTCAGAAAGGCGGCTAGATTAGCAGTGTACGAGGAAATGATGATAAGTGTGAAAAACCACCAAATGCCTCCCACTATCCTGGTGGAGAGGGCTTTGGGCATGAGCTCAGAACCTAACGGAAACCAGGGGAGAAAGGTGAAACCAGTGCACAGAAAACAGTAAGAGTTCAGCACTTTTTGCCACAGTGGTGAGAAGGAATCACTGTGCAAAAAAATCCTTCAAGCTATAGACTAACAGTCTGCTTGTACAAACACACATAAATTAAAATTAAGAACTAATTACAGTTATAGAGACTTATCTTTTTGGAACTGTGGGAATCAAAGGATAGTAATGGGAGATGAATGTCTTTTAAAAAAAATCTACACCAATAAGAAAGAGCAGATACTTGAACTGACTTTCCAGACAAACTTGTGGCTGGATTTAACCTCTAAGTTAATACTAATGTAGAAATACTTACACAGCTGTTTATCTTTGAAGCACTAAGCAAATATTAATTAATGTTTTAGAAATATTAATGTTTTAGAAATATTAATGTTTTAGAAAAACTTGTTTGATTATATCAAACAAGCTATTGTTAAAAGAAGCAGATATGACAGAGTATTTCATATCTGAAATACATAATATAAAATGCATTAGGAATATAAAGATATCCTGGACTTTTGCCATTTACCAGTTAGGAATTGTTTATTGAATACTTGGATAAAACAAAACAAAGCAAAACAAATATCTCCCATCTCTATAGTTAGTCCCACAGTTTCAGATAACATAGGTGGCTATGCCACGCATTTAATTTGATAGAGCAGGAATGATAATACTAGATTGCTATGCATAAACTAGAAAAAGATAGATTATAATGCATTGCTGGAGTTGCCTGATCATGGTACTAAAGAATGGAGGGGATACAGTACTGCATATAGTACATGGCAATTTGCATAATTATTAAAGTTAATTTAGAGTCTAATGAGACAAAGTGAAGCATATAAACTCCTCTCATGCTTAATTATTAAAAATAGGAAAAATCAATTTCAATGTAATTTACAACCACAAATATTTATTGTAAATGAATATGTATGAACTTTTTTTGTCATAGTATTGAGTGAAATGAAACTGTTAATGATGTGGCATAAACAATTGCAAGCTTTATTGGAAAAAAAATACATAAAATTTTTGAAAGGTATTCAAAAAATTGATTTCAAAGAAACGTTTTTACCATATCCACTATATCACTGTATCAAAGCAGTCACTTTTTGTTAACTGATTACTATATACTTTTTTAAGTCTCCTGGGTAAAATGGAATGAAGGCAAGATGGACTATTTTCTTCCTGTTAAATTGTAGCATTTTTATTGAATTATTTAAGGAACTGGTCCAGCAAGGTAACACATCTTTAAATAAATGAAAGATTATGCCAAACTTTCAATGTCAATGCCTAAAAAAAAAAAAAGAGGAAAAATCAAAGAAAAAGAAAAAAGACGTGGTATCATAACTGGACTATTATATTCAAAAACAGCCCATCTTACCCTGCAGTTCATCTTACCCTTGCTGTTTCAAACAAAAAAAGCTGACAGACTTGGACATGACAGCCAACTCCAGCGCCAGACTCTGCCTAGAATTCTGCAAGGAAAAAAGTAGAAAAGTACCTTTCTGATGTAGTTGCTCCTAGGCCCTGTTAGTCAGACACTTAGACACCATAACACTAACGTATTTCCCAATAAGCCCACCAGCATCAACTGTTGTTTTGTTGTTGTTGTTTTTTTAATTGCTGTTCCATTTAAAATATCAACACTGGTAAAGTCAAATAGGACCGTGAAGAAAAGAACAGTGGAAACATTTGCTGTAGTTGCCCCAATTACCACAAGTTCATATTTTACCAAGGACTTAAACAGAATGCCTCCTAGGCCCATAAAACAGAGCCTGGTTAGGGGCTGACTGTCATGTACCCAAGGTAACGTCATGTCCAGCACTATATCCCACAGTTTCCTGGGAGCGAATGGTATCAGCAAGACATGTATGAGTTCCCTCTATCATGTATCCTCCAGCACTAAGCAAATGTTTTGGGAGAGAGAAAGCATTTAATATGCTGCTATGAATACGGCCAAAGGGCTTTTATATATTTTTTCTAATGGAAAACTATTGCCACTAGGGGACAACATCCAAGCCGGCAAAAGTATACTTTTAGATGACTTTATGTTCATGAGAAAGATTTTTTAAAAAAACAATTACCAAAATCAAGACTGATACTCCATCCTTAACACGGCACCTCCAAAAGGTTATTACTGAGCCAAAGGTAAGTCAACATCTGGCAAGGACAGAGGGTCAGCCCTAATTCTGACTATACTTGATGGAAACCTATTATCCCCTAAGGCAGGCATTTAAAATTAATGTCTTCTTTGCC